GGGGGGGGGGGCAGCAAGTAAGGGTCTGAGCAAACATCAGAGGGGGGCCCACCTGGCTCCTGAGTACGTGCGTGAAGTTAAAAAAATTGCTTTTCTTATCTCAAACATAGTATGTGTTTATTATAGGTCTAGAAAAAATAGATTAGTAAAAACAAGACAAAAAAGTCACCCATGCTTACACCACCCAGAGATAACCGAAACATTGTATTTTCTATATATAAACAGTTCCCTTTTGTGTTCCAAAATTGGATCATACATAGTCATTTTGAACATCTTTCAAAGTTATTGCTCTTTACACATAATTATTAATGACACACTGTGTTCTATTATATAGGTATACTATAGGTTATTCATCTAATCCCTTTTGGATGAGCATTTAGGCGTCTTCTAATTTCTAACCAATGTGTTTTTTATAGTAGCCATCCTAATGGGTGTGAAGTGGTATTTTGTGGTTTTATTTGTATTTCCCTAATGATTAGTGATGCTGAACATCTTTTCATGTGATTATTGACCATCTGTACATCTTCTTCAGAGAAATGTCTATTCAAGTATTCAACCCATTTAAAAACGGGTTGTTTGGTTTTTTGTTGCTGAACTGTAGGAATTCTTTATATATTCTGGATATTAATTCTTTACCATATACATGATTTGCAAATATTCTGTACTATTTCAGGGGTTGCCTTTTCATTCTGTTGAAAGTGTTCTTTTAAAAACTATGCATATTTGTAAGCTGTCCAGGTTTAAAATCCACTCACAATTTTTGAAATTCATTTGTCTCACGCACATTTTTCTGAGGATCTTACCATTCACTGTTAGGCACAGAGCCAGGTGCTCAGGTGCTTAAGCATGTCTACCAGGGGTATGTGACAACTGAGTATGCCTGTTGTGGCCACTGCTCTGAGAGTCGGGTGGGCTGGCACCAACAGATTCCTGAGCAGGCATCTTGACAGCGACCCTAGTAGCCCACTTAGGGATTTCTGAGATAGAACCGAATCTCAGAGCAAGGAGAGGAGTCAGAGGAAAACACTGGCATCCTATTATCTTGCCTGTTCCTCTTACCATCCCCACCAAGTCTTTTCTTGGGCAGGCATCTGAGGAAAGACTTATCTGGATATAAACCAGACATCTGTCATGGGGCCTTGACTATCAACTGCCATCCCACAAAACAAGGGCTGGCCTTGTGCAGAGCTTGAATTAGGTGGCATTGCTCAGGGCTGTCCGGGTGCCCTACCCGACTTTGGGCCTGGGGGCCAAGGAAGCAGGAGCAGAATAAAACCATTTGCTAGTATTTTGAGTATTTTTTTGAGAGATGTTCCATTATCATATAAAATATTAAAATTCACAATGCTAGAAATTTAAAGTCAATCTACAAAAACAGGTTTTTTTGGGGGGGGGGCAGTGGAAATTAATTCACCAATTTAAGAAATAGTTTTAAGTGTATACCATGTTTCAGGCTCTGTGCCACTCAAAGAAGATGCACTAGTGAACAGGACATAGTTCCAGTCTTCAAATTTCATAAAGTCTTAAAGACAGGAGGATGGGGCAGGGAATGTGTTCAGTTATTAAATTAAAAATCTAGAGGGGCTGGGGAAGATGGCTGTTACTACCTTAAGTATGTATCTACAGGGGCAGTTATCTGACATGCTCAAATGCTTTTTCTCCACACACTGCTGCCTTGGGGTTTGGTTCTGAAGCTAAGGTTTTTATAAGTCTGAGTCTCATCAATGATACAGGCAAATTTTACCCTCATTCTTTCTCAGTTCTATACATTTATTATTGTGAAATATTCGTTTTTCTGTTTCCTCTTCTTGTTCACACACACTTTTCTCCAATAGTGGAAAAGTGATCCACTTCTTACGGTAGCATTACATGTATTATTAGCAAGAAACCAGAAACAACCTGTGTTCAATAATGGTAAACTAAGTTTTTATATGCTGACTCGATGGAAATAAGTATAATAAAAACCGTGTGATAAAACAGGGAAGTGTTTACTAAGCAATGTTATATAAACCCCACCACCAACAAAACTGTATTCTCTAATTATATCCATATAAATTAATCAGAATTAGATGAGAATCTGGTAAAATGAAAATACCTGTTATGTGGAGAGATTATGGGTACACTTAAAATTTTTATATAATGCTCTGTAAAGCTATAGTTATAATATATTTCAAAGATCAAGGCAGTTACAGTATGTTTTTTTTTTTAGATTTCTTTTTTTAAATTTATCTTTTTTTAAAATTTTATTTTTGTTTAAAATATTACAGATGTCTCTTTTTCTCCCCAATGACCCATTCTACCCTGTCCCTTCCCCCTCCCCAGTCTCTCTCTCCACGTTTTTGTTTTAATTAAATAAGACATTTTGCCTGTCTCAAAACTAATAGGACTGGAAAGAAGATCGCTCTATTTGTGCCATCTTAGGAAGATCAAAATGGGGGACGATTATCTAAACAAGCAAAATAATACCATTTGATCTACTAGCAATTCAAAAGTATTTTGGGCTTTTAATGACACATTAAAATAATTGTTTCTCATATGCATTCTGGGTTAGCTCCATTTTCCTCCTCGTGTGTGGAAGGGGAATTTACCTGAATTGAGGTGGCTTCAAACCCAGAAGTAACTTCCCTAAAGTCTCCTCACTCCAGGCAAGAGCCTGGGTTTCCTATACACCCCTCAGTTGTATATAACCCAGGCTATTCAAGTAGGAAGCTACCAAAAGCCCTTGCAGAAATACTCACTCCGGCTTTCACTTCTTGCCAATTTACTGGGATAACTTTTGGTTGTTGGCACATATGGCTCTGGAGGTGGCAAATCAGAAATAGGATGGAAGTGGAATCTGCTTTCCCACTCATCTGAGGGAGAGAAACAAACAGTATCTTCAGTAACAGACAATCTGCTGTGAAGACACAGAATGAACTAGAACTGTAAAGATCACTTCTAGTTTAATGTCTAGAAATTCAGAGAAAAGCTGGAAGCGCTAGGAATGTCACTGATATCACACATCAATAAAATATATGGGTCTCCCAATCAAACCAAAGCCAGATTCAAGTGACTTTAACTAGAGTGACGAGGCCCCAGCCAGTCCCGCTCGGGGCTAAGGCTTGGGACACCTTTCCTAATTATTTCTCCCATCAGTGGAAGGAGTACCTGGAACCCTCGGATAACAGAGGCTGAGGTAAGCTGCCTAATATCTGCAGGCCGCTGGGCCTCTAAGCTACAGCAAACTGTTTAGAAAGGCAGGTAATAAGAAGGCAAGCTACAAAAATGGTGCTTTTCAGAATTCTGGTATCTTTGGAAAGTTAACTAAAATGAGACTCAACCAAGGAACAGAGAAACATGATCTGCCGTTTTGGAAAGTGGAGGAGGAGGGTCACTGTTTTTAATTTGAAATCATGGTGGGCCCTAAGATGGTTAGATCAGCAATTTTCAACTGGCGCGCCCCAAGAATGTTTAAAACATGCCATACCGGACTGTTTAGTCAGGGGCACTGACCTCTTTTCCCTTAGACTGTCAAGTAAAAATATGACAGCAGCCAGCAAACAGCAGCCATCGGTGTGAGTGAATGAATCAAATTAGTGGTTTTTCTGGTCAGATCGGCAAGAAATATATTTTTTTGTGTGCCACAGAATTTTAGCAATTAGTGTATGTGCCATGGGTGAAAAAGGTTGAAAATCGCTCGGTCAGACAGAGCAGTGCAGTGTGGTAACACTGAGTCACGCAAACAAGGAGTGTTAATGCAAACATACGAGCACAAACCAGTTTCCCACTCAGCTGCCGCTCTATAGCTCGTGCATTTCCACGGAGCCGGGACCACACTCACCTTCACATGAAGAGTCTTGGAAGCCGTTTCTGATTGATGCTGATGGTGGGGGCGGGGGAGGCGCCCCGGCGCCAGGCCTGTCTGGAGGAAGGGGAGGCCGGGGCCCACTCCTGAAACTGTCTACTCCTCTGGATGGCAACTGTGGGGTGGCAGGCAGGGCCCGAGAGGTGCTGCCATTTCTGTTTATTGGAGGAGGTGGTGGGAGAGGGCCTGGAGCAAAAGAAAAGACAACATTTAGGGTGATGCTGTACATCCTACATTACTATTATCATGGCCATCACCAACGTGCAATTATTGAGTGCCTGATGGATACATGCCCTTTTACTAGAGAACATGGAAAAATGGTGGCGACTCCCTAGGAGATTTAGCCAAGAAAGGAGTAGGCACATACAAACTCAGAAATGCACATTCGTACACACACATGTGAAACGAGTGCATACTGAGAGCTAAGTGGCTGTTCTGGCTTTGAGTTAGTAGAGATTGGAGATGATACAGTTAAGTTCAGAACAGGTGATAATCTGTTTATACTGACAATTTCATACATACTTAAAACACATTTTAGTATCCTTTTAAATAGCTATTGAGCTAATTACTGCGGCATGATACTTATTAAATAAATGCTGTTTATAAAAATAAGTTTTTAAGAAGAATAAGATAGTTATGAAGTTATTCTAGATCTTCAGAGGGATTAAGTTCTTTAAATGCACAGTATTATTGCTAATTCCATAGGCACACAATCTATTTCAAGACAGGAGTGGGGTGAGGAAACTCAATGTTAGTCATCCTGAGAACAGTAGAAGTTCCCTCTTCGTTCTTCCTCTTTCGGGAGTTGATTAACACAGGGAGTGACACAGCTCGTTGATGTGCGTGGCTGTAAATGCTGGTGCAGGACTGGGACCCTGAGCAGGCTGCTTACCCTACCTACACAAGAGCACCAAATAGTCACCTTTTCCACAGCACTATTTCCAGGAATACTTAGTCAAAAAGCAAATAAAAAGTACTACGTAAGTATTCAAAACCATTTCTTTAAAAAAATGCAGTAGTATGGTATAATAAAAAATGTTTAAGTTCCTAGAAAATAATTCAAAGTAAATTCTCTTGGATAAAACAAAGGAACCTGTCTTGCTTTTCCCATCCTCCAAATGCAGAGGCTATTTGGGTTGTGAGTAAAATAGAAACAAAAAAGAAGGAACTTAAGCATTTCCGCGTGTAAACCAAAATGGCCTTGGTAATTCCTGATCTTCAGCAGTGTGCTCCACTTGCCAGATGCTGACATTTTATGTAACACAATGTCTTGTAGTGCTATAAGTACAAACATCTCTTGTTAACTGCAGGTCCAGAATCCAACTGGAGGACCTTTCCAAAGAACGACTCTCCCATCGAAGATTTCCCTGCTTGGAAGTCTTGGCTCAGACACTTGATGAAGGCAGGAGGCATGCCCTGCCCCGGTTGGTCTCTCAAGGTGTCTTCAGTTCCTCACCTGGGGGCGTTATTTATTGCCCCATCAGCTTGTCATTGCTGGAGTTCTAGTCTGTAGGAATAAATTTATTGCGCTAAAGAGTGTCTAACATGCTGTGGGCTTAACTTCACTGGTACTACCAGCACATAACTGTCACTCAGTGCCAACTAGACTTCCAATATCATTGGGCCTGGTACTACGTAACTTGATCAACTTAATTTCTCTCTCTTTAAGTGAATGTTCATGTTCTTACTTTCCAACCTTCTAGCCCCCTGCTCCAAACCTGGGCAAGCAAAATAGAGAACACTTCTATTTCCCACTGGCAGCATAGTAATAAAAATGATCATTTATATTGGGAAATAAGATAACCACTATACACACTTACTCATTTGATTTTTATAACAGCCCTGATAGGTATAGAGATAGCAGATGAGGCCTCAGAGGTGTTGGAAAGTTAAAAAGACCAAGTCAGGAGGCTAATGAGAAGAACCAGGATTTGACTACAAATCTGTCAAACTTGAAAGGCCATTCTCCTAACAATGAAGCTAAGCCACCTCTACAAATCTAGGTGGCCCTTGATAACCTCACATAAGTTCCGTGTGGGAATGTAAATTGGTAGGAATTTTCTAAAGGCCATTTTGGCAGTACATATGAAGTCCAGTTTTTTTGTGCACACCCACTGACCTAGAAATTCCACTTCTAGAAATTCAAAGGAAATATGTAGAGATGTACACAAATATTTGGCTACAAGAATATATTCCTCCATTATCTGCAACAGCAAAAATCTGGAGATGACCTATATGAACAAGTGAGGGATTAAATAATCAAGGTATTTTGTAGGATTTAATATTATGAGATATTGTTAAATAAAAAGCAAATTAATACCAAATAATATATGTAGTGTGATACTAATTTTGTAAACATGTATATATATGCATTTTCAAAAGACTGAAAGAATATATAAAAATGTTATCAGTGATTATTTCTGGATGGTGGGGATAGGATTATAGATGTTTTTATTTTCTTCATACTTTTCTGTATTGTCTATAATAAACATGTATGACTTACGTAATAGAAAGGAACAATAAATATTATAATTATATGTCACTGCCTACCCTACTTTGGGGAAGTTTTAATCTGTTGATTCATCCATTTGGTAGAGCCATGCAAACAGCTCCTCAAACACTGTGAGGGAAAATACATAGCTTTTGGAGAAAAAGACAACATTGCATTTCATTCATCTCACTACCTATTCTTGTTAATTCACTGAAGAATATCTGAGATGCCACAATGTCTAGGGACTGGATTGAATGGATTAGTACTTTTTATATTTGTAGCCACTCTCCATGGCAGGGCAGTTTGAAGGAGTGCTTCTCAAATTTTTCTGCACATTACAGTCACTGGGATATTACAGCCCCATCTGCAAGCCAGACCAACAAAACCAGAAACTCTGGGGAGGGGGCCTAGGCACCCTGGTTTTTAAAGCTCGCCAGGTGATTCCAGTATGTGGTCAAGTTTGGGAACCACTGGTTTAAAGAATGATATTTACTAGGTTCCTGAGGTCACAGGGTCAAAGATCAGTTAACTTCACAGAGAGAAAAAAATGCCCCATTTCCAGACATCTTGTGTATATAAGGTTACATTTTAAAAGTAGACAGTTGCTCTGACTCCATCAATAACCTATGTAAAACAAAAAAGCACCTATTAAAATCAGAGAGAGTATGAACCCTGGGGAATCCTCATATTTCACTTCATACTCTGAAAGCTATTTCCCGATTCAAGTTTCTCAGCCCTGGGTGGGGGCCACAGATGTGCTTCAGCGGGCCCTACAATCCATGAAATAGCGTGTGTATCTCGAGTTTATGCTTATGAGCATTTTTGTGAAGAGAAGGCCTGCACCTCCATCTGACCCTCCAAGGGATCTATGTGTCAGAGATGTCAGCAAACAGCCAAGCGGCTCTAACATTTATCTTTCATCAGCAGGGAAGGGGCCCGAAAGCTCAACAAAGAGACAAGTGCAGGGGAAGTTCATTAGTTCTTAAATAATTGCCCTTCTTGTTGGAATGGGCCCTCCTGCAGGAGATGGGGGCTTCTCTCCCCAGTGAGGACATCTGAAATCACTTTGGGGAGGCGGGCTTGTGAATGGCAGAGGGAAGACGAACGCTCTAGCCTCTTCCTTATCAACTGGCTTGTGCTCACTTAACTTCACTGGGCACTCAGTCGTCTCACGTCTAAACCACGACAGAAGGCTCAGCCCCCTTTCCGCGGTTTACAGGCGGCCAAGATGAAGTTAGCGGCAGGCGTCACTGAGCAGACGAAGGCAGGCTGGCCTTGGCTTAGGCCTCCTGCTGGCCTCTGCTCAGCGCGTGGTCACCGCGCACCCGGGCGGGCGGGCCGGGGCCCACTCACCGCACGTCTTGCCATACCTGATCTGCCCGGCGGGTCCCTCACGGGAGGAGGGGGCCTCTCG